GAGGTAACCAACCTTGAGGTAACCAACCCTCCCTGAGGTAACCAACCCCACCGAGGTAACCAACCTTGAGGTAACCAACCCTCCCTGAGGTAACCAACCCCACCGAGGTAACCAACCTTGAGGTAACCAACCCTCCCTGAGGTAACCAACCCCACCGAGGTAACCAACCTTGAGGTAACCAACCCTCCCTGAGGTAACCAACCCCCCCTGAGGTAACCAACCCCACCGAGGTAACCAACCCTGAGGTAACCAACCTCACTGAGGTAACCAACCCTGCTGCGGGTCCTCCAGTCGTGTGGGCAAAGGAAGGTGTTAAGTTATAATAATGGAGTAGTTAAGCGATAAGTGGGTATAATTAAGCCCGTATGAGGTAACCGGGGGGACGGGTTAAGTGACATGCCCGCCTTGCACAACTAGTCAGTGACCAGGGAGAACGGCGTTTGGCTGCTCGGACCAGCCAGAGCACTGTCTGTCTGTCTGTCTGTCAGTCTTGTCTGTCTGTCAGTCAGTCTTGTCTGTCTGTCAGTCAGTCAATCTGTCTTTACAGACATCAGAGAGGTCCGTGGAGCTGTCCTGGTGGGGCAGAGAAGGAGGCAAGGGGAGACAACTAAGTGTTCCCTCGTGTTGTGAAGATTAAATCCTGTCATGCTATATATAGGTTAAATTTAAAGAAAAATAAAAAGGCAGGGTTTCTTGCCAGATCTTAGCAGGTTTGACTCATCTCGCCCTAATGGTATCAACTCAATAATTGCATGTATTACCAAGTCATCAAAAATGATGATGCAAGCGTTTTGATTAGTGTAATGTCAACTTTAAAATCAGGTTCAAAAAGGTTTTTAAATATGCAATTAGGGTGGTTTTTTCCCCCCCCCTTACTTTCTTTCTGGCCCTGGAAGTATACTTGGGTCACATCCATGGCACATCAGGAACTTGGCTGTTAGCTTAAAATGGATGCTGAGATGCTCCCTTAATGGGACTTTAAGAACAGGGATCTCAGGAAAACACCAGTATTGCAGGACTCACAAATACAGCTAAGAGAGCTGGCAACACCACTATGCCCTGCAATTTGTGGCTGTTATTTAATGTATGAAATGCTGTTAGAAACCTAGAACTTCTGTCCAGGAGAAGCTGAGAGTCTTTCTCGGCCTGCAAGGTGCAGCTTTTTAGTGGGCCTTGACAATGCAGCTTCAGCAGAGGTGAGGCCACTTTAATGACAGTTTGAAGCTGTAGGGCTGATCCCACTTCTTCAGCTTCACAGCTCTTTACTTGACAAAGGTTTTTTTTGAGGTTTCATTGTAGATATTGTTTCTTCCAGTATGGTGATCCATGTGCATGACTGTAGTCCCTATACTTCACCCAGAGCAGAAATGGGTCCAGAATTCCTCAGCTGTGGTGCTTGGGTTTAGGTATGCGTGGAGCTGAATGCTTTCAGCCTTAGGGTTCCATCCCAAAATTGTCCAGGTGACTTGAGGAAAGAGTTCTCTGCAGTAGTAAAGTCACAATTTCCTTCTCCTACTGCACTTCTCTTCCTTCCCTTCTCCTCCCTCCTTTCCAGCAGTCAGTCAGCCAGTCCACAGGCTGAAGTCCAACTTCAATTGATCTTTAAACTGCTGTTCATCACTTTGAGGAAAATTTTATAGCCAGGACTCTGTAGCCATCTTTGGCAAACCCTTCGTGTCTCCATGGCACAGTTTGGACCCTTGCTCTGTGTCTGTCAGTCAGCCAGTCTCTCCTGAGCAACTGTGGAACCCATTAGCCACTTTTCAGCCAAATTGGGCAGAAAGGTTCAAGTCTCAAAGTAGGAAGTTGGCTGGCTTATAGATGACCTTTTTTTAAATTATTATTTTATTATTTCCTAATCAGCACCCAGGTTGCTCTGAACCAGCCACAAAAACGACTGTCCTTTGCCCAGCCTGTGTTTGAAGCACCTGCAGGAAGAACAAAAAACCCACCAAGGGAGCCGTTCTCTCCCAGGGTGGGTGGGAGGGGTAGGCAGGGTTGTTGCAGGTGGATCCACACCTCCCAGAGACCAGGCTGCAGGTGGCTGACAGAACAACCCGTCCTGCACCTGTGTGAAGTCCACAAGGACAAGGAAACCATTGTTTAATGTAACTGCAAGAGAAGATGGTTTTACGGAGCGGCAGTGCACTTCACACGGCATCACAGGGTGGTCAGGGTTGGAAAGCACCTCTGGAGATCATCTAGTTCAACATCAATGCTAGAGCAGATCACACAGGTAACACGTCCAGATGGGTTTTGAATGTCTCCAGAGAAGGAGACTCCACAACCTCTCTGGGCAGCCTGTTCCAGAGCTTCAGAGTCAAGAAATGTTTCCTCATATTCAGGTTAAACCTCCTGTGCTCCAGTTTGTGCCCATTGCTCTTTGTCCTGTCACTGGACACCACTGAGAAGAGTCTGGTCCCTCCTGACAACCCCTGTAGATATTTATAAGCATTGATGAGATGCCTGCACAGTTGCCTCCAGGCTAAACAGGCCCAGGTCTCTCAGCCTTTCCTTGTATGGTAGATACTCCAGTCCCTTAATCATCTCATCAGTCCCACCCTGTACATCAACAATCGATTTCTATAATGATGTAATGATGATGAGAAGTTCCAGGTTCCCCCACCCCATGTGCAACTTTAGTTCCAACCATGCTTCTGCAGTAAGAAATTTGTGTAAGAGCAGTGAGGCCAGAAACGTGACTGGCACTTCTCTAGCTCCCAGCCCAGGAGGATGTAGGTTATGGCAGAATGAAGGGGGTGATCACATCTGGGCTGCCACCCTTATCTTACAGGAAGCTGATGCTCTGAATCAACAAAATGGAAGGATAAGAATGAAGGCTGAGCTGAAGGTAGTCTGCTGAAGCTGAACCTAGAAGCTGAGAAGAGCTGGTCTCAACACAAAAATCCACCTATGGCTGAGATCAGCCACAGAGACAACTCAGAGCTGCACACCGTGACCCCGTCACACCCATGTAATCAGGTACTGTGACAGGTACATCTTGTCTCTGTATGAACTTGAGTGGGGACAGCAGATAACAGGAGCTGCAGAGGAAGATGCAGCACTGCCCTGAAACCCTGGCAGCCAAAGCAGGCACAGCGAGCGAGGCTTCCAAATGGCCTCGGGGCTGGCCTAACTCTACTCCTGTTGAAGCCAGTGATAAAACTCCCATAAACGGAGCCTTTTTGAAAATCCCACCCTTGGGGCATTAAAGTACTTAAAGGAAGAGACTGGAAATCGTGCAGGCTTTAGATTCAATTTTGATCAGTTTTTCTACTTATTTCAGCGGGCCCAGCCACAGACCAGCAGTAAGAAGCACTCCCCTGTCTTTCTGTTTTCTTTGTGCACGTTTGGTGAGTAAAACGTGCAGGAACAATTAAACCATGATTTTAATCCTGCCCCTAAGCTGCAATATCATGGGCACACAGGTCCTGTGTGAATCTGTGGAGAACGGGTAACACGACTTGTGTGATAAAGGCTCTTGAGCACCAGTGAGTGCTGAAGAGGGCAGATGATCTTGCAGGGGAGGCCCAGGGCACTCAGGAGATCTAGTTTTATTCCTCAGTTCTGACATGAGCTTCCTGTATGACCTCAGCAGAGTCATGTAATTGCTTGGTGCCTCCGTCCATCATCTCTTTAATAGGGTTACTACTTACTTATTTCCTTTCTCCCGCCCTGGCCTGCCTGACTTAGACTGCAATTCTGCCAGGGAGTGGAGCATTTTTTACCACGTGCAGGGCCTTCACCCAGTACAATGAGACCTAATGGCAATGCCTGTGGAGTAATGCAATGCCAATTAAAGAAATAAATGAGGATGATAATATAATTTAGGAGTAGATTTGCAGCTTGTAATCCAGCCCAAGGTCAAAGTGCTGCATTTTTCCTCGGGACACGAGGAAGTGCTCCACAAGGAGGTTTCTGCACTGGTCAAAATCAGCCACAAGCAGTAGGAGGTTTTGGGAAGGGGTTGAGTGTCAGTCCCAGCTTTGCAGCTGGCCTTGTCTGGCTAACAGCTGAAAGCCACAAGTAGAGAGGCTCCTCAGAGACACAGTGCTGGGCTACACATCTTACCCTGCATGGCTTTGTCTGATCTTGGCTCCTGCCTCTTCACTGCTGCTGCAGTCCTTCTCCTCCCCTACCAACTGCTAAATCATACCCATGAATGCCAGTATCACAATTGCAGAGTAGCTGGTGTCTTTTTGAGCTGCCTTGCATTCCCACGAGGGGCCACGTTACACCAAAACCAGGGCAGGGCACACAATGTTGTGACCCAAAATGGAGCTGCAGTGAAAATTATTTCCATTCCTCGAACCTGCATTCATTCTGATTAATTCAGTGTCCCCTACTATATTTAGATAACTGAGGATTAATTGCATGCGTGCTGAAATGCTGTCCCTTGTAATAAAATCATGCTGAACTATTCCTAACTTGAGTGCTGCCTGAATTGGAAACCTAACCAGACCCTGAGGGCCTTGGCCCTTACTTAGCAGGGTGTGCAAGGCATGCAGGATCAGGGCCTTGCTGTTTTCCAATCACACTGAGTGGTTTTCAAATCTCATGGCTTGTCTATACACAGGAAACAAACCAGGAATAATTTCAGTTGCTGATTCTACACAGTGATGCTTCAGAAGCACACCTGCCTCTCAAGACATGCAGGTGTCTCTGGTATCAGAGACAACACTTCTCTTGTACTCAGCCTACTCCCTTAGCTTAGGTTGATCCAAGGCCAGGTGAGAACTGATCCATCCACGTTGCTCTGTATTTATAACTATATCTGTATGAATAGCTTTATGTTCCTTGGCTTTGTGGGTCACCCCTTTATCCAACCCATAATTAACTATGTCTTCAAGTGAGCTCCTTGAGGAGGAAGCGCAGCGGGATGCCATTCCCTGCTGGACATGTCTGAACATGCTCCTCTATCACCTGCAGGTGGAAGGAAGGCTTGCAAAAAACGATTGAACCGGACTCCAGATTCCAAGTTTAGCAGAGTAACTCGTGCACCAGTCACTCAGCACCACCGGAAACGAGTCGGAAAAGAAACAGGGCGCTGTTCCCCCACCGAACTCCAGGCAGTGAGGGTGAAGTCCAGGCAGCGAGGGCTGAAGCTGCAGCTCCTTCCTGCCCAGGTGGGCCTGACAGAGAGACAGGAGGTGTGGAAACGCTAAGAGGGTTGCGTCTGGTTTTGCCTCTAGCGAGGGCAGAGAGCCTGGGCTAATGCAACCTTTGCAAAAGAGCCACCGCGCTCTCCCAGAGCCCTGAGCTCTTCCCGCAGCCGCGGCGGCTCGGAGGAGATGCAGCTCCGCAGGCAAGAAGAGAAGACATCCAAGACCCTGTCCACCGGGGTCCCCGCATCCTCTCCAGCCCCGGCAGCTCCACATCCCGCACATCCCGGCCCGCTCCGCAGCTCCCGCCCCGTCGGGGCGGCCCCATCGCCGTTCCAGCCCTCCCTCCGCCCCTGGGCGGGCCGTGCCGTGCCGTGCGGTTAGGTTGAGGCTCCCTGCGTGTGTCTATAACTTTGTGTTGCTGCCCGCGGTTGTTAGGAGGGAGGGAGGGAGGAGGAGGGATGTGGAAGTCGGCGGCGAGGAGGGTGACAGGCTGCTCGGGCGGATCTCTTGCCTCTCGCCGGCTGCTCGCAGAGGGAGCGGGCGCTCGGTCGCTTTCCCCTCCTTCGCCTTTAAAAGGGAAGGCTCCGCGGAGCGGAAGGCGCAGGAGCAGCAGCAGGAGCCATGCAGCAGCGCTGCTTCTTCCTCCTCTTCCTCCTCCTCCCGTGAATTCGGATCTCGATTTCTGCCGGTGCTGGAGGTGGCTGGAGATTCTCTTCCTTCCCCCCCCCCCCCAAGGGGCCCCCCCCTTCCTTCCTCGTCTGCGCTGTTTTAAATGACTTGAGGGAATGGGGGGGGGAAACTGTCAAGATGGCAGCAGCAGGAGCAAGGAGGTTATGAATGTGATGTTGATGCTGGAACAAAACCTATTCTCTGTGGCAGCCCTAGGGAGGGCTTAAAGCTTCTGGACCTGTTGGAAGACCGGCGATTTGATTTGTTCCCGTTCTGTTTGCTTTTTTTTTTTCCCTGCGAGAAAAAGGATTTATTA